CCAACAATTTTCACCTGGAAGCCCCTGCAGAGTCCCATTGCACCTGCACCTGGAACCCCCCCCCCCAACAAACCTCTATGCATCCAGATCCCCCCACACCTAGACCCCCCCCCCACACTGAGCTGCCTGCACCCAGATTGTCCCACACATAACCCTCTTACCTCACACCTGGATTCCCCCACACTGAGCCCCTTCATACTGGATCCTGCCAGGTTGAGCCTGCCTGCCCCACACCTGGTGCACCTGGCGCAGAGGGGCAGGGCCCCAGGGTGTTTCTGGGGCAGGTCCAGGCCCTGTGTTGTGTCAGGGTCGGGTGCAGCCTCACCGCTGAGTCCGTGTCCCAGGGGTGAGTGGTGGGGGAGCTGCAGGGTGATCTCCCACCTTCATGCAGCCAGTGGCCAGTGCTCCCCACTGCCATGCTGGAGTCTCTGCATTTATTTATTGACAAATAAAACTTGCAGAATTTTAAAATATTGTGTACAGGATTTTTTGGCACAGAATGCCCTCAGGAGTACCAAAATGTATGTTTGTTTATGCATGATTCATAGATATGCCATCTAAAAAGGAAACATTTTTAAAAGTGATGAGCGAGTGCTGATTCATTACAGGTGTTGCTTGTAAATTCCACATGCCGTTCAAAGGCTGAACTCTGCTCCTGAGTGCATGTCCAAAGCGCCACTGAAGTCAGACTCGTTTTCAAAGCTAAGGAGGACATTTGGTTTTTAAGCAGTGAGGTGGGAGAGGTTTGACATCGACACGACCTTTCCTGTGGGTTAGGCTGGCAGTGACAGGGTATCACTGTCAATTAAAAATGTACAACCTTGCATAGGAAAATGGGCTGTAACAGATGGGGGAGGAATATAGAGTTGCAGTTATGAGAAGTTTGTTTCCACTTGGAGTGTAATGGGTACTCTCCAGGTGCCAATGTGATCCTGACTCCGGAGTTTGGGTCAGTTTTAGGTTTCCTATGGAAACACCTTCCCTCTTTCTCTTACTTCATGAATAGCAAACACTTAACCACACCCTTCATAGTCATTTCTTAGCTGCTCAGAGGCTGCTGTAGACGCCGCAGCAAGCCGGCTCTGTTAGGTGTGATATGCAGAAAACTCTTCTGCGTCTGTCCCCAAGGGATTTTAATAGTGACTTTTATTTCCAAAAGAGTGAAAAACAGAGGCTGAAATATTTGCTTCAATAACAAAGTTGTTGAAATGGTCTGTTCCTAAAGGGATCCTGCCAAAGTAAAATTAATGGGCCAGGTTTTCACGCAACCCACTCTCCCTGCACTGGAGGAGTAGGCTGCACCGTCCCTATGGATGGCAATTCCCTTTTGGCGATCCCCTGTGGTGGTGCAACTCCCAACCCAAGGCATTGGCTACATCTAAGCTCTGAAGCATGAGGCATCTTGAACCTGATTGCCAATGAAGGGTGCTTGAAATCATTACATGATTGCAGCTCTCCAAATGCCTATGAGGCACCATGTGCCAGATTTGGGCTCTGAAAGGATCACGCATCCATCCAATGGGCTTGCTCGCAATAAAACAGGTAACGTCAGGCTTCTTTGCATGTTGTGGCATAACAACTCAAGTGCTTGAAAGGGCCCTGATAGGGAATGGGGTTGATTGGCTTAGATTGTAGCTCAGATTGACAGAGATGTGTAAAATGCCAATCCAGAAGTTTGCATAGACTTGTCAAGCCAAAGTAAACCGTGCCAATGGAAGAGCGTGGGAGAAGAACTTAAAAAGCCAGACAATGGCCTGTTTGTTTGCCCACTTCTCCCTACATGTGCCCTCCATACCTGAGGGTTGTTTTTTTTCCAGCAGTTATTGGGTCATTAGGAGTTGGTGCAAAAGGAACACATCCTGCAGGCCTTATCAGCAAAACTCCCCTGGAAGCCATTGGGAGTTTTGCCTGAAGACATGGGACTGAATCCTGGTCCTGTTGATATTCCTGGAAGCTTTGCCACTGGCTTCAGTGTGCTCAAAATTTAGCCCTGGGTGAGAACTTCACGATTTGGCTCCGTGTTAGTTCAGCATACAAAAACTGTGCACCATATAGCCACTTAACTTTTTAACATGAATTTATCTTCATCTTTTTCCCTTCACTGTTTAAAAATCAAGAATTGTTCCCCTGCTGCCCAGCAGCAGGGAAGGTAGAAAACCTCTATAACGAGTACTCTGCAGTAATCTACAGTAATGGTCCCAACCACTGTAGTTACTCTGTTGTAAACTGAAGTGGCTCATTACTATAATTGTTGAAAATTGCAGTGTTTTGCTTTGTGTTTTTAAATAAAGGAATCCTGGTATACTGAAGCATCACAAGTCAAGTTCCTCTGTTGCCTTTGTACATATGACAGGTGCCCCCATCTGATCATTATTATATATTAAATAATCTAGCCCACTAAAGTTCAAAGCTTAAATTGCTACTGTAGACCTTCAATGTTTAGTTGGAAATCACCTTCTCCCTACCACTAACAAATATTCCTGACCTGTGTGTGTTG